CCTCTGCTGGCTGACCATTTCTTCTGGGAATAAGACTATCCCTTTCCCCTGTTGACTCAATGTTCCTGCTCTATTTTTAATCCATTTCCACACTTTCACCACCTCACTTCATGTGTTGAGTCCCAAGTGACTGCATTGCTTTTTTCAAAACAAAAAAAAAAACAAAAAGCGACAACAGCAAAAAGAAGACAACAAAAAAAAGAGTGCTCTCCTGGATCTAGAGACCCATTTGGATCACGAGACCAGACCATAAAGATGAGCACCTAGAATGGAAGGCCAGGCAGGCACCCAGCCTGCAGCCTCTTTCCCAGAGAGCCTTTCTCATCTCTCCTGTCGCTGCTCTCCAGCCCCCTCGGCCTCCAGAGCTGTCTCCTCCCTCCAGCCCTTCCTGTCTGGGATGGGCAGATTTCCCTCTGGGGTGCCTCAGGTACTGTCCACTGCCTTGGGGTCACATGCCTGGCATGTCATCTCCTCTGCACTCCGACCCTGATTTTATCGTTCCCCAGCGGAATTCCTGGAACGTTATTTCAGAGTGTCTCCATTCTGCCCAAACAAGAGAGTTAAGTTCCTTGAGAGCGTTTCTTACTCTGTGGTCGGGCAGTGCTCTGGATGGCAGAATCAGTCCTTCCCAGGTTCACCTCCACAGGCTGAAATGCAAGGCGACTTTGATTCCTGCAAAATGGAAAGTGAAAGGAAAGGAAAGCCCGAGCCGGCAGTGAGGTTTGTTGTTATGAACTGCCCCGTCATTGCAGCCCTGTTCCTGCCATCACCATCGTCTCCGTCACACCAGGCCTCTGCCCAAACCCCTTCCGATCTGGGTCTTCCACTTCAACCCCGGTCTTCTCTGAAACTCTGAGGATCACATGTCCCTTCACAACCCCTTCTAGGGGGACTTGGGGGCACTTGCCTCACAGGTCGAGAAAGAAGCTTCAGCATTCTTTAAACTGCCGCCTATTCCAAACTCCTTGTCTTTAAGCAAACATTCCTGCTCCTTTAATGCCCTCACAGCCTGCCGAGAGCCTTCTCTACCCCTCTTGCTGCTGCCAGCCAGGCCCCTCCAGTAGGTGAATGTGCTCAAGCCTCGGCCAGCTCCCTGCGACGCCACGCCGTGTCCCACTTTCTCTTTCAAGACAAGCTTCTTGGAAGAGTAGACTAAACATTTCTCCATTTGCCCACCCCCCATTCAGTCCACAACTCTTGGCTCAGACTCGCTGAGGAAACAGTGCTGGCCAATGTCTCTAGAAGGGAGCTTCTCCTTTGATATGTAACATTTTTCAGCCCTTATCTTGCTTGACTGTAGCCTTTGACACTACGTACCTCTCCTTCTTGGAATCTCATCTTTCCTTGATCTCTGGGGTAACATACCCTTGTGGTTTTTAAACATGTCCAGGTCCCTCCCCTCCACCAGCCCTGAAACATGCGTGTCCCCAGGTCTCAGACTTGGCTCTTCCCCCTCTGACTACTTGATCCCAAACCCCCATGCAGTGAACAGCGTTCACCCCCCACCACAGTGAACAGCGTCGTCTGCCAGACATATCCGGAGGACCCTGCCTTCCAGAGGTCTTTCCGAGTCTTTGTTTTGCTTTCAGCCCCACATTGAAATAGTACACAACTATTTCAGTAACTCCAGTTTGGTGCCCTCTCTGCTACTGATCTCTCTCTCTCTCTCTCTCTCTCTCTCTTTCTCTCTCTCTGTGCCCACTGTCACTGCTTCGGAATCAGGCCCCCACCCTGGTCAAGTCGAACCACTGCTATAACTGCCTCACTGATCTCAGTCTTGCCTCCTCCCAACCCATTCTCTGAAATGCAGGCAAAAGGGTATTTCTAGAACAAAAATCTGTATCACTCTTCTGTCTAAGGCTAGCCATGGCCTTCAAAACCAAATCTAAATGTCTTAGCATGCCACACAAGGCCCTGCAGGATCTGGGAATTCCTTCTCCAAAGCGTCAAGTGTGTCTCTGGCTAACTCATCTCTCCAGAGTTGAACAGCCCCACCTCCAGGGCACCTGCCCCACACTGCCCCTGCTTCTGGCTTGAAGCTCTTCCCAAGTGCTCCAAGAGGCTCCGCCAGGTTCACCGATCTCTGCTCCTACTGATGCTGTATTAGATTGTGCCCCACTAGGCGATAAACTCCTTGTTTTTTGCTTCTGTGTTTCCAGCAACTATCATAGTGCCTGGGCCTTAGCAGTTGCTCCAGAAATGCTGGACGCGTGAATGAATGGATGAGTACATGAATGAAGGAATGTTCTGTGTTGTGGGTCAATGCTGCCTCAAGTGTATAACAGTGTGAATAATTCCTGCTGCCAAACTGCAAAGATTCAGAAAATGTGAGTACAATTAAGCGACTTGAAACTAGGTCACTTGACAAGTTTGAAATGGGTAGGGAGTAGGGTTAGGGAAAGGGACTTAAGGTTGATTTGGTAGCTACTTGTGGTTTCCTGGTAGGCATTTTTTAAATGTTATCTCAGTTAATCACCATAAGAATACCTTGATATCAATATTGTCTTCATTTTACAGATTCAGAAACAAGGCGTGGAACAATCAACTGGGCTGAGGCAAAGCCCAAATTTAAGCACGGATCCCTGGCTGATCTCAACTCTCATGCTCTTCTTACTGTATTGCGCCAAAGTTCTGTCCAGGTAACCATAAGGTTGGCAGGAGGGGCTGGGGAGGCGGAGAGACTGGTGGTGCCACTCCCATGATGTCCTGGTGAGTTCGGAATCTCAACAGGACAATGACAGTGAGATTGCTGAGTTTTGTAGGCTCAGGTGAAGCAGTGTTACCCAGCTTGATGTCCACTTGGACGTGTGGATGAGAGAAGGAAGGGCGGGGGTGGTTTCTGGGTCAACCAGTCAGGTGAAGGCGTCATTTCAAAGAAATTTGTTTTCCATGCAGATTACTCGTCCAGGATGTTACAGGGAGTTGAATTTCTGCCCTCTACATGGAAGGGCTTTATGGCCAGGATGACAGGCGATGCCTACAGAAGCAGAGGGAGGCAGCACCAGCTGCTTGCCCCTTGGCCAGGATAGTGGATAGACAGCAGAGTACAAACTTCCAGAAGGTGAGTGATGAAACCAGCAGGCCTGCACAGGCACATCCTGTCCTTGCCGACGGTCCTGATTCACTCGAATGAGTGTGGAGTGGTGGGGTGGGAAAAAGCTTTTGCGCTAGCTTTTCCTCAGCCTTC